ACCAGGCAGCTTGGTGGTGGGAGCTGGAAAGCTGGTGAGTGGCGAAGTGGCAAGCTGGGGACTCAGGGACACTTGGGTGAGTACACACGAGGCAAGGTCACCTGTCCCATGCCCAGTGAGTGACCGTCTTATGACAGACAGCATGTGGCCTTCCTAGGAAATGGGAGCATCCAGTGCTGGAGATGCCAGGGCCCAGGGTGTGGCAGTGTTGAGGACAGAAGTGAGGCTGGAGAGGGAGGCGGCTGGAGGCGGCCAGAGTGACCTAAGGCTGGGAGGGGATCCTGCCACATCCTGGACCCCTTGATGTCCTGGCAGAGCTGTCAGGAAGATTTCTGGGTAAACTGAGGGTCACTGAGAGTTCAGGGGTGCTGTGACCATGCTGTGTATGGGGCCCTGGGCATCGCTGGCTGCCTGGGTCTGTTGCTTGCCCCTTGAACCGGCTGCCTCCTCTAGCTTCCCAGCCCAGGGCCGAGTGTCCCTCAGGAGGACCCTGGTTCCACACCCACAGCCCTGAGGTTATGAAACCCTCACCTTAGTGAGTCCTGATCCTGCCTGTCGCCTTTCTGCACTGGCCCCCTTGGGCTGCAGAGCCGCCCTGCCAGTGTCTTTCTGGACACAGTGGCTCTGAGCAGTGGCTGCTGCCATGGCCTGCTGCCCCTCTCCCCAGGCCAGCGAGTGCCACAGCAGGGCAGTGCCAGCTGGCCTGGGCAGGCCTGAATGCCCTGGGAGGGTGCAGAGAGTTTGTCCTCTGTGCCTCCTGCTGTGGCCTGGTGAGACAGAGCCCAGTGGCCCCTCCCAGCCACTCGCCCATCTTCTCTTTAGCCCTTGTCAGCACCCTCATGGGGACAGCGCCCTTGGCCCTGCCTTTCCTGGCTCCTGGGGCCTGGCTGCTCCCCTCTCTGTCCCCACCATCCCACCCTGCCCCCTGCACCACTCACTCTTGTCCTTTCTTCCTGGCTCTGGTCTCCTTTGGCCCCTGGCAGTGGGACACCTGCGTGCCGTGGTCTTAGGGACCACCACATCCTCACTGCCCAAGGTGGCCCTGTAGGACCTTTCCTGTGCTTCCGGTCTGCACAGCCAGTGGTCCCCACAGGGTCCCCCCAAGGTGACGTGCGGGCTGAGTCCCTTCTGGCTGGCATATCAGCCTGACTGCCGCAGTCAGGACTTCCAGCCCGTGCTGCCTGGGGCCCCTCAGGGACCGAGCCATGGTCCAGCTCCTCCCGGGTGCCGTCTTCTGCTAGCTCAGCTCCTGGGGTGCTTCCCGCCCTCACTGTGGTGCAGAGCCGCAGCTGTTCAGCCTGGTCACTGTCCTGTGGCTGGTGGAACAAACGGTGCATGCGAGACTACCTCGGCGCAGACTTTGTGTGAGCAAAAGCTGGTTTTTATTCCACCGGGTATAGTGGGCTGAGATCGGGAAAGATGTCAACAATTAGCCTGAGAAGAAGCAGAGTTTCACCGGGTCAGGAGGGAGTGCAATATTAAGGAATCCGGCGGAGTGTTTGTGGCCCAAGTTCCCAGGACAGTCAGTGCAGCTGTACAGATAGTACCGGACTTCTCAGTGCCGGGGAGGTCGCACGTCCTGTCCTGTCCTGAATCTTCTGTTTGCTGAGGGCAGCGTGGCACCTCAGTGGTGCCCAGTTGTCTGCTGAGGATGGCATGTTTGCTGGAGGGCCCTTAGGACAGGCATACAGCTGGGGACATGAAGTCTGCCCTTTGCAGAAGAGGCTGGGGTCCGGGTGATGCCCTGAAACCAAAGTCAGACATGGGACGCCTGTGCTGAGGACAGGAAGCCCATGTAGCAGCAGGCGTGACAGCTGGAGTGGGGGCTACAGGCCTCTCAGGGTAGTGCCTGGGCCCCTTGATGGGTGGCCCTGTGGCTGCCATGATCCCAGTGGCTCCAGGGGTGTGTGGGAGGGGCTCCCTCGGGGCTGGAGGGCTAGGGTGTGGGTGCTGCTGTCCTAACACAGGGTCTCTCCTTTCTCTTCTGTCTTTGAAGCAAGGAGGGAAGGCTGGGGCTTGGGGGCAGCAGGGTCCTAGGTGCTGTTGGGCCCAGTGGAGCAGGCATTGGGCTCCCCGAAGGTGGCCTGGGTAGGGAGAGGAGGACCCCAAGTGCATTCTCTTCCGCTGCTGATGTCCCAACCACAGGTTGGGCTTATTATTTTTGTTTTGTTGTTTTTGTTTTTTGGTACTGGGGATTGAACTCAGGTCCTTTCACTTGCGAGGCAGGTGCCAAAACCACTGAGCTAAATCCCCGGGCCCTGAGTTTATTATCTTTGTTCACCGGATGGGAAGCTGGGCTTACACCTGTATTCCCAGTTAGCTGGGAGGCTGAGGTGGGAGGTTTCTAAGTTCAAGTCCAGCTTGGGCAATTTAGCAGGCCAGGGACTTAGCTCAGTGGTGCCACCACCTGCCTCGCAAGCACAAGGTCCCAAGTTTGATCCCCAATACCAAGAATAAAAAAAAGACCCTGTCTCAAAATTTAGAAACTAAAAAGGTTAGGGTTGTATCTTGGTGACAGAGTACCCCGAATAGAATACTGAAAAAACAAAAAAACAACCCCCACAATACAGGGAAGCCAAGGCCCCCACTGTCCCAGCTCGAGTGGCCGAGCAACCATGGCTCTTATGTCAAAGGAGCCTGCAGTGTGGGGCCAGTGCTGGCTGGGGTGTAGGGATGGACCCAGGCTCACCTGGCACAGGTGTGCCAGCCCCGCCCTGTGCTTGGCCTTCCTCCAAGGGGAAGCAGGGGCCTGGGGCCTGGAAGTCTGGCCTCGGAATGAGTGGCCCAGCCCAGCTTTCATGTTCACAGTTCGGGACTTTGCATGTGATTTCCCTGCAGCTGTGGGCAGCTGTGTGCCCGGCCCTGGCCACCCAACCCCGGTCACCTAGCTGTGGCCACTGCATCCCGCCCTGGAAGCCCTTGTCTTTCCGGGCAGCACTGGCACCTTCTGGAATGTCCCCCATCCCGGCCCCTGCTGGGGCTAAGACAAGCTGGGACGAGGATGGCCACCGCCCTCCCGAGTGGAGGCTCAGGGTGACCCAGAGGTCCGAGGCTGGAATGGCACCTGGCTGAGCCTGGTGAGAGCAGCAGAAGGGCTCCGTGCTCAGGTCCCCCGGCACTGGGCCAGTTCCTGCAGCGACTGTCGTTACCTTCTCCTGCAGTCAGGAGATCGGAAGTCTCACTGGGCCAGAATCGGGGTCTGCTTCTGGCTTCTCTGGCTCCTGGACGTGCCCACGTTGCTCAGCACGATGCCTCCCTCCGAGTCCCGGCCAGCCGCAGCGGGCCCAGCCCATCTGTGTCACAGTGCCCTGGCTTCCTCTCCCCAGGGCCTCCCTGGGCTCCTTGTGCTGGCCTCGGGCCACCTGGGTAACCCCACTGCCGCTAACCCCGTTACCTGGGTGTGGGTGGTGTCTTTGGGGTCTGTTATTCTGACCATGGCTCTTCCACAGCCTGCCTGGGGTATTTTGGGGGGCCGGGTCTCCCCCTACATGTCAGGCACCGGGCCGGTGGGCAGGGAGGGAAAGAGTACAGTTAGAACTGGACCCTCCCTCCGCATCGTCTCCAGCATCCCTGTCCCAGAAGCCCATCTTCCAGCTGCCTGAACTCAGACACAGAGCACGGGGCAGAGCCATGGCCCTGGAAGCTGGGCTTTTACAGCTGTCTGTTATCATGGTCAAAAGGTACAAGAACGCAGACTTTGTCACTTGAACGTGTGCAGCTGGTAGTGAGAACGCTACAGTACATGCATGCTACATACTGACTACTGCATGCCTTCATTCCTTCCTTCTTTTGAAGACAGGGTCTGGTCTTGAACTCACTATGTAGCTCAGGCCGTCCTTGGACTTGGAAAAACCCTCCTGTCTCAGCCTCCCAAGTGCTGGGATCACAGGCAGGTGCTATCACGCCCACTTCCTTGTCCATTTTTGAATTGGGTTGTTTGCCTCTTTGCGGTTGAGTTGTGGGAGTTCTTTGACATTCTGGATATTAAACCTTTATTTGGAGCTGGATTTGAACCTGTGCTGGCTGGCACTGAACATGTTCTGAACTCCGCTCCCTCTCATCCTCCAGGGGTCACTGCTGTCCCCACTCCTGCTCTTGTGCAGTTTGTGCCCCTCTGCCTTGCCTTGCCCAGCCCGCCAGCGCCCCAGGGACTGGCACTCCCCATGGCCCGCCCACCCCCCGGATGCTGCTGCAGGCCCTCCTGGCCACGGCCACCCCACGCCCATTGTTTGTTTCTCTTTCATAAAACAATACACAGAAAAGTACAAAGACTAGAGGACAAAAGCCTGCCACCCCAGATAAACATGTGATGTCTTCTTGTGGTCTGTGCTGGCTTTAAGAACTAAAACCCAGAGGCAAAACTGAACATGCTGCGCCCTCCCTGGCCCCAGCAGTGCCAGGCCGGGCTGGCATGACCATCTCTGTCCAGGATGCCCGTCCTCGGCTGGGCCTCCGCCAAAGCAGCCCGGTGCTGGCCTGCACGGTTAGCAGGGCAGGTCTGGTGGGCAGGTGGCAGTGCACTCCTGTGAGCTGTGTTGACACCTGCTGTCTACTTAGTCTGGTCACACATTCAATTCTGCTGGTGTCCCCAGGACAGGAGCTGGACCTGCCTGCCTCTGCATGCCCACCGGCCAGGCTGTTTCTGGGCCCAGGTCCTACAGGGCTGGCTTATTCCTCTTAGTGAGCCTTGTGGGTGTGGGCAGGGCACCAGACAGGAGCTGAGTCCTACTCCGTGTCACTCCCTGGGGCTTACAGATGGGGGCGAGTGCCAAGCATGGTGGCACAGGCCCAGCACTCTGGAAGGCTGAGACAGGAGGATCACAGATTCGAACCCAGCCTGAGTGACTTGGCAACTGGTGAGACCCTGTCTCAGAATAAAAACTAAAGGGGTGGGTGTGAAAGGAGAGGGAGGGAAGGGGCAGGATGGAAGATGGAGTGCAGGGAAAGAGACAAAGACCCCAAAGTGAGTGTCCCCTCACCTGTCTCCTGTTCTCTGGCAGCCAAGTACCCGGCCATCAAGGCCCTGATGCGGCCGGACCCGAAGCTCAAGTGGGTGGTGCTGGGGCTGGTGCTGGTGCAGCTGCTGGCCTGCTGGCTAGTGCGAGGCCTGGCGTGGCGCTGGCTCCTGTTCTGGGCCTACGCCTTCGGCGGCTGCGTGAACCATTCGCTGACGCTGGCCATCCACGACATCTCCCACAACACCGCCTTCGGCACGGGCTACGCCTCCCGCAACCGCTGGTTCGCCATCTTCGCCAACCTGCCCGTGGGCTTGCCCTACGCCTCCTCCTTCAAGAAATACCACGTGGACCACCACCGCTACCTGGGGGGCGACGGGTTGGACGTGGATGTGCCCACACGGCTGGAGGGCTGGCTCTTCTGCACGCCAGCCCGCAAGCTGCTCTGGCTGGCACTGCAGCCCTTATTCTACTCGCTGCGGCCGCTCTGCGTGCACCCCAAGGCCATCACCCGCATGGAGGTGCTTAATACCCTGGTGCAGCTGGCTGCGGACCTCACCATCTTCGCCCTCTGGGGCATCAAGCCTGTGGCCTACCTGTTGGCCAGCTCTCTGCTGGGCCTGGGCCTGCACCCCATCTCGGGCCACTTTGTGGCCGAGCACTACATGTTCAGCAAGGGCCACGAGACCTACTCCTACTATGGCCCCCTCAACTGGATCACCTTCAACGTGGGCTACCACATGGAACACCACGACTTCCCCAGCATCCCAGGCTGCAACCTGCCCCTGGTAGGTGCGGGGCAGGCAGGGCTGGGTGGAGAGGGGCCCTGGGGACCCTCTTCCTTCTGTTCCGGTCAGGGGATGGCCACTCACACAGTGGTCCCCAGGGCCACGTGACACCCCGCACCTCCAGGTGTGGAGGGGACGCTGCAGGGCGTGGGGCCTTGAGAAGCAGGGTCTAGGCCAGGCGCTTTAGGGAAGATGGCTGTTTGAACCTGCTGTGACCTTGACTGGCCGTGTGTTCCCAGGGAAGCCATGCGCCCTCCAAGGGGCTCCACTTCCTCCTCTGAGCGTGGGCCGCAGTGGTCAGCATGCGTGTGAGGACCCTCGTTCCTGTCTCCTGACTCCGGGCCCGCCCATCAGACAGGGGGGTGGCCTTGCATTTTGCAGCCTAGAGCTGCAGGGAGTGGGAGCCTTGGGGGAGCTCTGCTGTGGGGTCCCGGAGCCTGGACCTCAGAGAATTTTTGAGTGAGAAAGGAGGAAGGGGTCAAGCATGAGGAGGAGGGGGAGAAGAAAGAAGAGGAGGGGGGAGTGGGAGGAGGAGGGGAAGAGGTAGAGGAAGAGGAGCAGGATGAGGAGAAAGAGACGGGGAGGAGGAGGAGGGGACTCTCCCGTCAGGCCAGGGCGAGGGGCGGCAGAGGTGTGCCGGTGTTGGTGTACATGTGTCTGGGTGCACACCTGTGTGTGGGTGCTAAAGCCCTCTGGGCTGAGCAGAGGTGGCAGAGCCAGTGTGCAGGCCTCAGCCTTGGGCGGGAGGTCCCCACCATCCCCAGCTGGGAGTTCGAGCTCCTGTGTCCTGCCAAGTCTTCGAAGGCACCCTGGGGAGTGGGGTGGGGGCTCCCTGACATTCACCTGGACCTAGAGGCCAGTGCACTTCCTGTGGGAGGCCTTGGTTCAGGGACAGGCAGGCAGGAGGGAGTGTGGAGGAACAGACAGGTGGAGAGGGCATTGCATGCTGGGCTGAGGAGTAGGCAGCCAACCCTAAGGCCCCCGGCAGGACGCAGGCCAGACCGGGCCCGAGACCTCTGCGGTGGGTCCCTCTGGCCTGCTGGATCCCAGCCCTGGGTGTCTTCTGAGGTTGGGCACCTTGAACTCTTCCGCCTGGCCTTGGGGCTTCCAAGCAGCAGGGCGGCCAGCCCTGCCCAGGGGTCCTTATGGCAACCCTGACCCTGGCCTCCCCCAGGTGCGGAAGATTGCACCCGAGTACTACGACCACCTGCCACAGCACCACTCGTGGGTGAAGGTGCTCTGGGACTTCGTGTTCGAGGACTCCCTGGGGCCCTATGCCAGGGTGAAGCGTGTGTGCAAGCTGGCCCAGGACTGCCTCTGAGCCGGCCGCTGACCCTGGGGTGGACACACTTCCTGCTGCATCGCTCACTGCCATCTCCTGCCCTCTGAGCCGTGCTTCAGAAAGCTCAGCCGGCCTGACCCCTGAACTGCAGCTTTGGGCCCTGCTGAACCCCGGCTGGTGTCTGTGGTCCCAGGCCGCAGCGGAGCAGCCTGGCCTGCATGTGGTCTCCATGGGTCACCTGCCAGCCTGAACGCTCCGTGCCTGTCTCTGTGCAGCTAGTTTGTCAGTGTTCTCAGGCCTATAAATTAAACCAAGGTTGTTTTCATTGTCCTGCCTGGTGGTCTGAGGGGTGGTCTTGGCCCTAGGCTGGGTCCCAGGGAATGAGACCCCACGGCCGGGCAGTGGCACCTAGGGTCCCAGTGCTACCCCCTCCTGGCCACTGCACACCATTTCCGTTTGCCCAGGTGCGTGCTCAGGCAGGGTCTCCATGGCCTTGTCACTGGGGCTGGTGGGCTTCAGGGATGTGGGCGGAAGACCTGTAGCTGTGGGAGTCTGGCAGCAGCCCAGGACCTCTGGGGCTCCGTACCCTGGCTGAACTCTGCTGGCCCACCTGGTCCTCAGCCCTGCAGAAGGGGAGGGTGTGGCCAGGCCTGGGGACTTATCGGAGGCTAGGTTGGTCACGGTTGCAGCAAAGGTGGGACGGCGGGGCTATCTCCCGACCCAGGAGAGAAGGGCCTGGAGGAGGTGTGCTGCAGTCTGCCCCTAGTACCTGGGCGTGCCAGGTGGTGCCAGGCACAGGTGTCCCTGAGGCTTCCTCTGTGACTGGAGGACTTTGAGCCCAGGCAGGCAGCCCCACCCTGAGCACACAGGCAGCCCGGGGCTAGGGGAGGCCCGGCTCCTCCATGCCTGCCAAGGGCAGCCCTACAGGCCTCTCCAGACTGCTTTGGCCACCATGTGGGGAGGGGCTGGTGTGTCAGAGCAGCGGGAAGCTCTGCGGCCCCGGCCAGGCCATCAGGTCCCATTCTGGTGTCACACCTCAGAGAGCCACATGCCTGCCTTTGGGGTTGCTGAGGGCACAGTGGGGAAGCAACGTTAAAGGCAGGGCCAGAGCATGGCAGTTCCTCTGGGACCAGTGTCCCCTCCCTCAGAGTGGGCTGGACCCAGGTGGGTTCTCTGCTCTGGGGTCGTGCTGGCCCGAGGTCCCAGTACACTGAGGCCTACACTGCTGGGATCCAGGCCACACCCACACTGGTCCTGGAGGCCCACACTGTCTCTGCTGCAGTCCTAGGCCAGGGTGTTGGCGTGGGCAGAGGAGAAGGCAAAGTTCCCCCAGCTTTGCTCCTGTGGCTGCCGCCTGGCATATGCACACGTGTCCCTGGGGGGCGGGGACATCCTGGGGTGTGAGGAGCATGTGTGGTCCTCTCGGGGAAGAGCCCAGGCCCCCAGCCTCACCCTCCAGGCTGGGGACCCTACCCTGCTCTTCTTCCCGTTTTTCTGGCTCAGCCCAGCCTGACCTTACCTGCAAGGGCTGCCTGGCCAGTGTGACAGAGCGAGCAGGAGCCGCGTGCGGACAGTAAACGGTTTATTACTGTGTGGACGACACGCAGCGCATGGGCAGACTTTAACACCATGGTCGCCGGCACAGTTGCTCAGAAAGGCCACACTGTGCCCGTCACCTAGAAGAAAACTTGGAAACCATCTAATGAAGCAGGTGATCTGGGGTGTCCTCTATAAACCAAAAGAAATGTACACTTAAATAAGCAAATATAAAATACAAAAAAAGAGTGGGCCTGGTGTTCTGTGTCGGACAGAATCTAAAAAAATCCAGGAGTTGACTGTTTCCTTCACATCGGGCACAGGCAGAGACCTCAGCGTCTGATGGCGCCGCTCCTTGGGTGTGGTGTGTGCTGGGAGTCAGGGCCGCAGCTCCTCGCCGTCCTCCGTGGCCAGGGCCACCTATGTGGTGCTGACACCGCTCAGCTCCTGCCTGATGGCTGAGAGATGGGACAGGAGAGGGGCTCAGGCTGCGCCTGGGGGGACCTGCCTGTGTCATGCTCTCACGTGCAGACCCCATCTCCCAGCCCAGGCTGGCAGAGCTCACACCCAGGCCACAGGCCCAGCGCTGTGGAGCTTTGGGGGCCTACAGCCCCTGGTGGGACAGAGCTGGGGACTCTGCTGACCGCTCCTCTGAGTCAGCCTGGCCTGTGATAAAGGGGTCTCCCCAATCATGAGGCCCTCTGGGCAGGCAGAACTGGATGGGCAGGAACTGGGCTCTCTGCTGGCCAGGGTGTGGCCACCCTGCCTGCACCTTCCCTTTCCTCTGGCTGCAGATCTGAGCCAGCTCCTCAAAGGCCTGGCGGGCCCGGAAGGACGGATGTGATGCAGGAGAGCCAGGGGATCTTTGCAGGGAGCGCCTCGCCTGCCCCAGCCCAAAGCCAAGGCTAGGAAGGAGCTTGGGCCTAGGTGGTGGCTCCTGGTCTCCATACATCCAGGAAAGCAGTGGCCCTCACAGAGTCCCAGGGCCGGGGGCTGGAGGTGACAGACCAGAGGCAGAAGGAAGCAACATCTAATAGAGCCTTGGGGCCTCTGCCAGGACCGCCCTGCCCTCCACACAGGCCTCAAATCCTTCAGGGCACGCGGGGGTGTGGAGGCCTCGGGTTCCTCAGCTAGGGGTGGGCGTGCTGCGGGCATCGTCTTCCTTTTCCCTGGTGGGTCCCGAATGGGCCGCCTGGCGGTCTCCCCGCCTCTTCCCGGGGCCCTACTGTCCACAGCTCTGGGACAGCCCCGCAGGTGGCTCCAGCCCACTCACCGTCGATGATCTCCTCCTTCACCTTGTGGAGCTCCCGGACCACCTCCTCCAGGATCTCCTGTGGGACAGAGCCTCAGAGTGGGGAAAGGCCGTGGGGACCCCTCGGGCACATGCTGGGGACACCGAAGGCGGCCCCAGGGGGGAGGTGGAGGGGGACAACTTTGCTCTGGTGCTGGCATGGTTGGGGACATCCTCTCTCCTCCGCTGGCTGGCTCCTGCTGACTGCAGCCATAGGCAGGCCCCGCTGGCAGCACTCACCTGTTTCATCCGGTCCAGGTCAAAGGCATCCAGGGCCACGTCGCTCACGCTTCCGGCAGGCTTCACTCTGGGAGAGGAAGATGGGAGCAGACAGGTGGGCCACAGGGCCTGCGGGTGCCCTGGAGAGTCTGGAGGTCCCTGGCCTTTCCAGGGCTGCCACCTGTGGTCACACTTGAGGGCTCCGTGGTGCCAGGCCCACATGTCCCGGTCGACCTGGGGACTGTGAGGGCTGCTCCCCGACTTGAGGGCTCAGGCAGGTGGGTGACAGCTGCCCAGCCACCACCTCTTGGGGGAGAACAGGACCGACACCCACCCCTCTGCGGGTGGCTGTCCCTGCTGAAACCCAGCACCTGTGGCATTGAGGTCCACGTGAACTTGCAGTCAGCCTGGTCTGAAGGCACCCACTTCCCACCCAAGCCAGCGCCCGGTCTTCACAAATGCACCCTCGGGTGTGACTTTGCTCTCGGCGGCGGCAGCTGTCACAGGCTGACTTCCATAAAAAGGCTATGTACTAAGGCACATGCCGCCCACAGACCTCCTGCCTGGGTCTCATCCAGCTCTGGGGTCTTCAGGACCCCATCCTGGTGCAGCGGCAGACACTCGGTCTGGGCTTTCCCTCCCCGTGTGATGATGGGGGCCTGAGCCTGTTTCCAGGGGAAGCGAAGTGGCCTGAGCCAGGTGAAGAGATGGGGGCAGCGGGGGCTGGTTGGTGCCAGCGGGACAGCTGAGTGGTCCCAGATCCTGTTAGGACTAGCTCCAGATGTCCAGGACCCGGGTGGCCCTGCTGAGGAGGACACGGGCACTCAAGGAAGACAAGAGCGTGCTCCTGCCCGAGTCTGTGAGAACGCTGGGTCCTGATGGCTCCCAGGCCATCCCGTGAGGTGCAGCTGCGCTCCTGGCTGCACTGACAGCCACCCCACAGAAGCCCCCTAAGTCATGCTCTATGGGAGGGGGACCCTCTTGGGAACCACCTGAGAAGCCAGAGGACAGCTCTTTCTCAGGGCTGGAGAGACCTGGGACCGCCCAAAACACCCTAAATACCCCTGGCCCTGCCAGAGTCACCTCCCCTCTGCCGCCAGGCCCAGTGTCCCAGAGCCCTCACCCACTGGCCCTGTGCCCCACTGTCCACCAGACCCTACACACGATACAGAGGCACTCCCAGCTGGTCTCTCTTGCTCCCCTGCTCTCTGGCTCATGGTGCAGGGGTGGGGGTGTGTGTGCAGCTCAGGGCGGGGTACTTCTTGTCCCTACACCTGCAGGCCACCCAGCTCCTGTCCCTCAGCACCACTCCCTAGGCTGCCTAGATCTGCCCGAGCCCCTGCCAGGACTTCAGCTCCCCTGTGGACAAGGCTCCTTGAGGGTATGGCTGTCCCTGGCACATGGCTGGTGGCTGCAGGGCCTCTTCCTCGGTCACCTGAGAACCAGGCCATGCCCCCAGGGCTGGGCTGGAGCCCTGCTTCCCTCTGCAGGATCAGCCCCCTGGCCGCCTGCTGCTTCCTTCACTTTGGGGTGGGCAATGGGGCATCTCTTGGGGTAGGCTTAGAGGCCTTTGGGGCCAGACACGCTTAGCTGCGGTTACTGCTGGCCTTTGTGGGCAAGCTCAGTGCCAAGTGTCCTATTCTATGGTCATGTGGGCTTCGGTCAGTGAAACACGCTTCTGTGAGGAGACGCCGGGTACTTAGCACACAGGAAGGGACAGAGCCGGGCTGGATGGAGGGCAGGTCGGGGCGGTCCCCGCTCTGGCTGGCGGGGAGGGCATAGCCGCACCAGTGGGCGCCTCCTGTGTTCAGCTGCCAGCCACACCCCAGGTTCTCTGCGGACTCCCCTTTGTCTTGGGATGGCCACTTCCCTCTGGCTTCGGCTCCTCTCCTGGAGGGGTGGGGAAGGAGCTGCCCCACCCCAAGTCCCTCCAGCTCCCCCTTCCCTGGGGCTGAGGAACAGAGCACCCTTCCCAGATGGACAGACAGACAGACAAGCTGTTAAGTGACGGCTGTGGGAAGGGGCTGGGGGTGTTAGTCAGGAGACAGGGACAAAGGCCCCAAGCCTGGGGACATGTGGGCGGGAGGGTTTTCGGTACCTAGAGTGAGGCTGCAACTGAAGGGGGCTCTTAGCTTCGGGGCTCTTTGCCACGGACGGGGTTCTAAGGCAACGAACGAGACAGACACGTGAATGGCATGGGCGCCCCCTGGCCCCAGACACGCGCCTTCCCAGGGTAGCTTACCTGGACAGCAGTGAGGACACAGGCTTTTCCACTGAGTTGCTGCGTTCCCAGGGCTTCCGGCCAGCCTCTGTCGGTCAAGTGCCACAGATGAAGACCAGTTAGCCCTAACCCTTGGTGGCTACCCCACAAGCCCACTGGCTCTCAAGCTGGCTGCAGACCTGTGTCACTGGCCCCTGACAGCAGGACTCAGTGCCTGTGCCTGGCTGTGACCTGGTCTCACGTCCTCCCAGAGCACAGTCCGGCCGGGGCAATCCTGACCCCAGCAATAGTCAGCAGTCCTGCACACTCTGGGCAGGACGCCTGGGTCTGCACTCAGTGCTGTCTGTTGTCTCTTGTCCTGGGCTGAAAGCTGCTTTAGCTCCTCTTGTAAGTCAGTGGTACAGGTTGAGAAAGCCCTTATCCCAAAGGCTTTGGCACCGGAAGTGTTTCATTTTTTTTAAATTGGGAATATCTGCAGACTTTACATGCAGTTTGCTCTGAAAGTTTCAGAGAATTTGGATTTTTGGATTAGGGATGCTCAACCTGTGCCAGATTAGATGTTCGGGGCTGAGGAGCAGAGGCGGGTGTGGAGAGCCGGGGACAGATGCCCTCGGGTGCAGCTGGCAGGTGAGGAGGCCCCACCCAGCCACCCTTCGGGCCAGGCCAAGGCCAGGTGCCAAACCCTAACCAGAGGGAGCCCCAACTCCTCAAGGGGGAAGCAGCCCACAGGCTGGGCTGCCATGTGGACAAGGAGTGGCAGTGATGTTCACCTCTTCTGGCCAAGAAGCCTCGGACCTGGGAAAATCCACGCCCAGCTGGAGTCATGGGAGTGGACGTGGCCATGCGCCAGTGTGCACTGTGCGGGCGTGAGCCGTGTGAACAGCTGGCGAGAGCTTCCTGTGCCTGGCTAGGGCGGCCCGCCCCGCCCCAGCTCTGCCTCACGGCACCATAAGCAGGAGCCTATGCCTGGCAGAGCAGAAGCTGAACTGTGTGACCGAGCCTGGAGCGTCACAGTGTCCCGGTCCCACCCCTCTGCACAGTCACCTGGAGAGACCATGGGCACCAGGGGCAGGGTCCACTGAGGACTTCCGCGATGCCAGTCATTAGGCAGGCACCACAGGAAGACGTGGGCCCTGACTTTCAAAGCTTTTTCCTGGCCAGCAGTGTGGCCCAGTGGTTCAGTTCCTGCATGCGGGTAGCCCTGGGTTCGGTCCCCATGAGAGGGCAGTGGCTGTGGCTTCGGGAGCCCTCTGCGCCCACACAGTGAGCTGGTGGTCAGTTCACCCTTCCAAGGCTCCCTTAAGCCTCCGCCCCTTACCTGTGGAGTTAGGTGGCTGGCTGGCGGCTCTGGTCCCCGGGCATGGGGAGGTGCTAGGGTCTTCCTAAGTCGGGAAAGAAAGCTCTTCCATTAGTCCACTCAGAAGGCTGCTCAGGGCTAGGCAACATACCTTTGGACTAGGGCCGTGTATAAAACCTGTCCCAAATGCTCTCAATGACCTTTTTTTTTGGGAAGGGGGCGCATATGTTACTGGGGATTGAGCTACATTTCCATTCCTTTTAAAAATGTCTTTATTTTGAGACAGGATCTTGTTAAATTGCCCAGGCTGGGGTCTAGCTTGTAACCCTCCTGCCTCAGCCTCCTGATTGCTGGCATTGCAGGTGTGCACCACCACACTGGGATGTTCTCCAGGGCCCCAAAGAAGCAAGCTCTACCCTGGAGCTGAAGGTTTCACAACTGTGCTTCTCTTCCCAATCCTTAGGCTGAAACCCACATCTCCTCTTGCCAGCTTGGCTTCAGCCATTTAGGTCCTGAGAAAAGCCAGAGCTGGCCCAAAGTCCAAGGCCCTGTACTGTGGCAGAATGTGGTTACCATGGACTGGCCCTGTAGTCACCCTAGGCTACAGCTGGCTGAAGGTCCCAGGGTGTGCGTGGCATGGGGCGGTGAGTAAGAGGGAAGCCAGCTGGCCTGCAGGCCTATGACTGGGCAGGAGAGAGTGAGGCCGCAAGGCAGTCCTGCCTACTGGGGTTCAGAGGCAGGGGTCTGCAGGAGGGCAGGGGCCTTCCTAGCCCGGGTTTGAGGCTGTGTCTTAGGGAGGAAGGTTGTGCAGAGGCCCTCCTGCCTCAGCTCTAAGCCACCCACCAGGCGTCCATCACATGTATCTGCCTGGGTGCACCCCAGGGCCCAGAAACTTCCTGATCCTGCTGAGGATGCCTAGGGAGGGGTAGGTGGGCACTTACCGTTTGGCTTTCATCTTCCTTTTTCTCAGCCGGTTTGTCTGTCTGTGAGGCTGCTTTTCTCCTAGGACCAGGAGGAGAAGGCACAAGTTGGCTCCCTGAGCTGTTCAGAGTGGAATGCCTGGGCCTTGCTGATGGGCTGTGTGGGTTACGGTTCTGGCCCTGAAGGAGGCCACCCACTGGGCGCCATGCCAGGTGAGTGCAGGCTTTGTGCTTGACTGGCCTGGGCAGAGAGGAGGGGTTTGGGGCGGCCCGGGTAGAGAGGCCCACCTGCACCTTTCCTGGTCTCCCAGGCGCAGAGCGCCAGCTGCAGTTAGCCCAGCAACCTGACTGCCATCCAGACACCAGGAGGAACCGGAAGGGCCACAGGGCTCTGGGCCCACAGGGCTTCCCGTGGAGCTGCCTCTTGCCAGCCTCGCAGGACCGCATTGTACTTCCTTTCCTGGCCTTGGTGGTCACCTCTAGGTCTCTAAGACATGGACTCCCAGTGGTTCCCAAAGGTGCCCTCTCGTGGGTCTCCAGTTCTGTGCAGCCACTGGAGTAATCTGCCAGCCTGAGGTGAGCTGCCCACCAAGGATAGAGGTGTGCAGTGATGGGCCGGCCCTGCTGCCACTCAGTGGACTCCACAGCCACCTCATCTCAGGACAGGCCCCTGAAGCTCAGGAACTGTCCTTGACATGAACTTCTCACAGCAGTAAGCCTGGCCAATTCTACCTCTGAATTTTATTTCCAGTCTTTGCTTCCAACCCCCTTTACCAGCCACCTTTGTCTGTTCTTGGGCTACCACAATCTCCTCACTGACCCAGTGCTACAATGCTTGTCTAACAGGCACAAAGCCCTGGATTTCATGTTCAGCACTGCCAGAAATGACCAACCCACCAGACAACTAAGCAACCAACCAACCAACCAACCAGCCAACCAACCCAACCTAACCAAAACAACCCAACCCAACCCAACCCAAACCAAAATAAAACAAGCTGAACACAGGGGTGCACTCCTGTAACCTCAGCTTCTCAGGAAGCAGAAGAAGGGGGACTGCAAGTCTGAGGCCAGCTTGGGCAATTTAGTGAGACCTTGTTTCAAAATAAAAAATTTAAAAAGGACTGGGGATATAGCCTTCGGTGGCAGTCTGCATCCCTAGAATGTATGAGGCCCTGGGTTCCATCCCCATGACCGCAAATAAGAAAAAGATGCAGGATATGCACACTTAAGGAGGTCAGAGTATGTAAAAGACCTTGGCACACAGCAGCTCTCAGTGAAAGTTTGTGTTCTCTCTGCATGCCTCTGCTGGGAGAGAGACCGCCCCTGTCCTCCCTAAGAGGTAGGGACAGTCTCTGCAAGGAGTTCTATTAAAGGAGCCCCTGCAAGCGTGTCTCCTTGCCCACTCTGCCCCATGCCTACCACCAGGATGGAAGCCAGAGAACAACCAGAGGGGTGCTGGCTGGGCTGTGCCAAACATGCACGCAGGGCCTTGACTGCCAGCATCTGGCTGGTGTTGGCTCCCAGAAGCACCGGCCTCTTCCTGTTTAGGGAGAGAGGAGCTTCCTGTCAGTTTGAGCTCCACCACTGAGGTTAAACTGTTAACTCTCTAGCTTTAGATGGGGAAAGCTATAATAATTTCTTTTCCCTGAATATGTTTTTTGGTGAGGCCCTGTTCAGCCCTCAGAGAGCTGGCGGTAGAACCCATGCCCAAGCATGGCAGTTTCTCTTCCATCTCCTGGCCCGTCTCCTCCTGCCCAGGTGACTGGTGCAGTGGGCTCCTCGGCTTTCCCAGGTGCCTCAGCACTGCCCGCTCCTGTGCTGGCTCCTTGCAGGGGACGCCCCCTCTCCCACTCAGCGCAGAGCAGAGCACATACTCATGCTTTAGGCCAGGTATGTGCAGGGCCTCCTCACTGCACCGAGCTCCCTCTACCTCTGTGCAGCCACTCAGCTCCTACGGGCCTGTTTATTGACTTATGGAAGTTGCTTTAGTGTCCCTGCCTTGCCGATTTAGCCTGTCAAGGCCCAGGGGAGTTTGGGGGAGGCCACGCCATGGATCACTCTTGCTGCCCTGCCACCCAGGATGCTCCCTGCAGCTCCTGAGGCCCGCACAGAGAAGGCCGGGCTCCTCCCTACATGTAGCACCAGGCCAGCTCCCTGCATGCCTGGGGCTCTGTCTCCTCACCGCATCCTCACAGAGCCCTCTGGATTAATGGGATGATTCAGGACAGTAGAGCGAGGGCCTCAGACACACAACTCCCACACGGGGCAGGGTGGCCAAAGTGGAAGGCAGCCAGGAGCGAAGGAGCACAGCCCTGCGCCTTCCTTGGACACTGCAGGGGTTCTGACCACGAGGCCTGCTCCTGTGTCCTCTGGAGCCCAGGCCAGCCACAGCCAAGGAAAGCTGTCAGGCCACACCCTAACCAAAGCCAAGCCCTGCAGCTCTTCCAAGAGAGAGTGGCATGACCTTAGCACCTCCTGAGGTTTCAACTGGGGAATGAAACACCACAGTGACAGGCTGGAGGCCCTGGGCAAGCTGGGGTCACACCTGCCAGTGTGGCTGGACAGTGGGCAATCAGGTACTAAGCTCCCAGCCAACCATGACACAAAGGGAACCGTTCTCTTCCCCCTTTTGGGCGCAATGTCCCGGGCCCTTGTCCTTCTGAATTTCTTTCCTGTACCCCACAGTGGGCCTGGAGGAGTGGCACCTTCAGCCCACGCTTGCCAGAGTTCTCCTTGTGTTGACTTTTCCATCCTAAGTGCAAGCGAGACTCCTCTTTCCCTGACTGCTTCTCTGAAGTGACCCTCAAGTGGACTGGCAGGTAAGAGGCGTGAAACCTGTCAGACTAAGATGAAGCAGGTATAGAGTTGAGGGGCCCTCCTGGCTCTCACTTCAGGTGACACTTTGAGAGGGGACTTAAATGACAGTGTTGCTTGATTGGCTAAGCCTGGGTGACAAAAGATTTGGAGGCCCAGGGGGGATTCTGTGTGGTGCCGAGTGATAGCAACTTCCTGACGCTGTGCAGGCTCCTGGGCATGAGACCCACCTCTTGGCCAGTAGCTTGTTCATCTCCTCCATGAGGCCGCCTCCACCACCCCCGCTGCTCGCCCGGTTGGCATCGGACTTCGAGGTCCCACTGGGACTGGAGCCTCCAGACGCATCTTCCGGCTGAGGGGATGGTGCCATGTTTCAGGAGAGGCAGCAGCCCCTCTTGAGGGGAGGTAGGGAGTGTGTGCACGGCACCCCTTGGTCTACCACTCCCAGCCCACAGGAGGAACCAGCATCCGGAGGGGCACAGACAGCAGACACCCTGAGCCATGTAGTCTCCTTGCCAAGCCCAGGGTGACACAAGGGGGTGAGGAAAGGGGCCAGTTCTGTGGGGAGGCAGAATTCACGCCAGCAGTCTGAACCAGAGGCTCTTGGGCTCTTCCCAAGTACACAGGGGGAAAGGCTGAGCTGCAGGACAACTGGCAATGCAGGAAAAGCACAGGCCCGATTCTGAGACCCGGGGCCGTGGCTCAACCCTGCAGCACAACAGCTTGGCTGGCACACTGGGGCCTCCATTTCCTTATCCACAGAAGGGGACATTTGCATCCACATATGAGTGTGTAAGCGGGGTCCCTGTCCCATCTTCAGAGCGGCTTGGCTGAGGCTCTCCTGCCCTCCCTGCCCCAGGTGAGTCTCACTCACCATGGGTGCCTGGTGTGGGAGGCTGCAGGGACGGTACGGGTTAGCTTCTCTCCTGGGTGCTTACCCGCTGCACTCTCCTCAGCTTTGCCCCTGCCAGGGCGGCGGCCAGGCCTGACACGGAGCTTTCGTCATGGCTGCTGCCCTGGGCTCCTCCAGCTGGCAGTGGGGGTGGAGGCGGGGGGGTGGCACCTGCAGGTGGCGGCGGG